AGTGATTAGAAGTAAAACCAGATTAGAGACAGGCAAACATTTGAAAGAACTAAAACTATTCATTGGCTTCTCTTTATGGTTTATACTAGATCCCAATCCATACACTATATCACGTTCCTATGGTTTACTCAAAATTCATAGACCAGGCACACCAATAAGATCTCTATTATCTAAATATCAAGACAGTATATCAAAGCCACTTTAAAACAACTTAATGTAATTTAAGATTCTTATGAGTTTAAATAAAAAATATGGTTTTGATTATCGCATTAAGTGAAACCATCGTAAGCTATGATATTTTATCCTTGTACACTACTATTACTATCAATAGATGCCTAGAGTTTGTCAGTAGTTTACTAAAGGAAGATCATACTCTACCTGGTATTTCTATTAAGCATCACTTTAATCACGAAATCTTTTAAAACTATATTTAAACCCAACCTTATTTATCTTCAACGGGACGCTTTGGCAGACAAACCAACGGAGTAGCAGTGTAATCTCCAGTATCTCCGATTATAGCCAACCCCTTTTATATCACATATAGATTCAAATATTTTTACCAATAATATTAAACCACGAATTTAGCTCAAGTGCGTGAACACTATTTTTTTCACGATAAAAAGAAATTACTTTCCCTACGAATTTTCTCCAAACTAATCAATACACTTTCAGACCACTTTAAATTCACTTAATATAAGAATAAAAATGAACACGATGAGTTATCATCATTGTTAGATTGGCCTTAGTGGAACTTTCAAGAAAAAAATAAACAAAAATTCACTCGTCGTCTTTCATTATTAAAAAAATTATTATTATATAATAGAAGCTTGTAAAACATAAAAATTGAGTACAAAAAAAGTAGGTTGGTTAAATTATCCAATTTTTTTCTCTAGAATTTTTCTACACTGCATTTTCAGTCTTTTTTTTCCGTTTTTTTTTAAGTCGTTTCGCTCTCTTTTTTTTCTCATCATTCTACTTTGTATTGGTTTCTTGCTTGCTTTTTTTCCCTTCTTTGTACTATTATATGCGCATATCTTCTTTTCTTTTTTCTCGTGATTCTCAATGTTCCCATTTCTCGTAACAAAAAACACTGTACAACAGTAATTTTATATGATGATAGAATAAGAGTAGAAAAATTCAATAATATACAATTGCGTTGTTTAAACAAGCATTCGTTAGAAAGTAAGATAGCAAAAACAATGTAGAATGATCGTAGTAGATTTCATATATACTTAACGGTATATTGAGTAGTAGTAGTAGGATGAGGAGTAAGTAGCAAGTTAAATAATAAATAAGTCTGAGTGTTTTATACTGAGTTGTTAGTTAAGCAAACTAATGTAAAATAAGCATTCATAATCTAGAGAATTTTATCTTTTATTTATATTGACTATTGAATTTTTTTACAAGTAAATTTATCGTCTATGACATTCAGAGTTGAAAAATAAAAATACAATTGAAATAAAGGTATGATGAGTAAAGTATCAATCAAAATAATTTGATGAACCATACAAATGAAATTTGAAATAGTTTATGATTGACTGTGGTGTATTTGTTTTACTTTTATGTGTTAATTACTGTTGATGATGTTTGTTTGTTTCATTAATTAGTATCGATTTTTAAAAGAGATGGTAGTTTTACTCAGAAATCATGAATCAATCATTGTTAGACAACCACTAGAAACATCAAAGCACTGGGCAACAGTTTCATCCTACTATGGGACACATCAAAAACTCCCGCTACTCGCAGGAATCTAACCCACAAACTTCGGTGTTGCTAGTGAATGCCTAACTTCTGGACCATTGAGCTTGCATCTAACTGTCTTAACGTTCAACTCTGATCAATTTAAGATTTTGCAAAGTTGAATTCGGATATTCTAAACTCAACAGACATTTCTTGCCTTATATTTTTGCCAATCACCTTATTAAATGTAAATGTTTCACAGTAATACATTCTAGATTATTAAATATTATTCACTCGAATACAGCTTTTCCCATCTAAATAAAGCATTCATGATATTCATTCCAAGTGTTGATA